CGATGCCAAGAATGCGGGCAAACCAAGTTGCGAAATTGCAGCGGCATCGCGACGAACGGATTGTGCCTGCGCGGTGGAAGAACGCCAAACGAGCAGCGGTCCAGAACTTACCCCGAGCATGCCTCACCATGAAGGGGGGATGTGTCAGTCGCGCAACTGGCAAGCTCGAGTGCGCGAAGCCACGCGCGCACTCCAGAGAAATCACTAGCTATTTCCACGAGATTCAGAAGCGGTTTTCGCAGTGCACGGCACGCGCGCTTTGCATCGTCAAGCGCGTGTTTGGGGGCCTTGCGTGGGCTGCGTGGCACCCCCAGGGGCTCCTCGGCCTCATCGCGGCTAGGGTTGGTCGATTCAAAACGGTTCCGAAACACGAGCGGTTCTGTCCATGTGGAAATTGCAGGCCTTTGTGCTCCATCATCGAAGCAGACTCCTCGCAATTCTTCAAAAGTGCGTCGTCGGCGAGGGGGTGTTCCATGGCCCGAGACCTTCTTTCTCGAGTCAGTGCTAAGTGCGGCGCCGCTGGCGCATGCGTCGAGAGAGGGGAGAAGACATGTGGGAAGTTGGCTACCCCAGGCAAGCAGACGCCGCGAGGTTGCGTATATGGTTGTTTTCTGATATCAAGCGAGCTTGGGAATACGCGAAGCAGGATCGCTTCTTCTTGGTGGGAGGGTCAAATGTTCGTCGGAGCAAAGGCTGGCCGATGGGTGGGTCACTATCCGAACCTGCCACGTTGGCCGACCTTGGACACGCGGTACATCAACTCTACTCATGCACCGCATGTGCAACATCAGCAGGGCTACACTTCCCTGGCCTGGACGCAGCCGGCATGGTGTGAGGTCTATTGCACGTGAGCGACAACCTTTGCATGCCCCAAGTATTTTGTTCATCGTGCCTCGTTTGTCCAGCCGGGTTCCGACGCCGGGGGCGAGGTGAACGCCGTCGGATTCCACGTGCTGGATTTGCTGCCGCGCAACCGTGATGCGCTGAACCACATGCGGGATGTGAGATCGAGGCGGGCCGCGCCTCTCGCCGCGCACCATGTCTCGGTCGCATCCGGTCTTCGCTTTGAAGGGGGGGCCGGAAAGAACCCGCCCCGAGACGGACGCGCGTTGCGGCGCTCCGGCAGGGTAGTGTCAAGAACCGCTTTGCCGAGGCGTTCAACCATTGCGTCGGCGAAGCAGGGTCTGACAACGCGCTGGAACGCGAGTGGCAGGCAACGAGGACTGCCGTGAGTCGAGCAGCTGGGGCGCTTCCGGTGAATGCGCGGAGGCCGAACGAGCTTTGGATTTCCGAGGGGGCCGTCTAGCTCTTGGACGCAAAGCGCCTTGCCAGAGGGCGCGGCGGCTCCAGGTCTGAACGGGAATTGCATAGAGCTGCCCGCAAACTGGCAAATATGGACATGACAGAGTGGTTGGAGCTGAAATTGCAGACGGGAGGCTGGCAAGCTATTAAGGCGCGCAGGAACCCGATGAAGCCGAAGAGTGGCCGCCTCGGGGACAGCGACGGGGAGTTTGTCGAGAGCGACCTGTGGGCAGACGCACTGGCCGACCATCTCGAGCGGATTCAGTGGCGCGCGCACCCCGCGGGAGTGGTGGATGGACCAGATTCAGGAGAGCCGCCCCCCGCGAACCAAGGGGCAATTGCGAAGGACGAGGTCGCTGGCGCAGTGATGAGTTTGTTTGAAGGCTCGGAAATCTTGTGGTCCTGATGAGATTTTCGGCGAGTGCTGGCGCGCCATGGCGGACGCCGCTGATGGTCTGCAGCGGCTCGCAGATTTATGCAACCGTTGCTTGGTGCAGGAGCAGGTCCCGGGCGACGAGCGCGCGGCCAATGTGGTGAGCCTGCGCAAGAAGGGGGGCGTGGCGAACTGCGACAACTAACTGCCCATGAGCCTCGCTTGCGTCGCGCGCAAATTATTCGCTTCAATTTTGTTCAGAAGGCTGCGACAAGCAGGGGCAGAGAATCGTCTGACCCGCGCGCAGTTTGGTTTTTGGAGAGGTCATTGCACGAGCGATGCAATCCTTCTGGCACGGCGGCGCGTTGACCTAGAGCATGCGCACAAACGTGGGGAGGTGGGCATGGTCGCTCTAGATTTGGCAAAAGCTGTCGTCTCCATCAATGTCGACGCTCTCATAGTCGCAGTTCGACGGCTTGGGCTGACCCCGAAGCATGTCAGACTTGTCCACCGCATTTGCGCTGACCGCCGGTTCAGCGTGCTAGATGCCGACCAGACGTCTACTCAAAGACCGCAAATGTCCGGCTTTTTTTCAAGGGTGCCCGTTGTCGCCGCTTCTCTTCGTGATGCTCGTGACAGTGACAAGCCACGGCGCTGCAGCAAATCTGTCGCCAGGTGCCGATGCGGGCTCGACGGCGGGGCACTGAGCGTCCTTCTCTACGCCGATGACGGGCTGGTCATCGGGGCACAGCAGGAACGCGTGCAGTAACCATTCGACGCAATTGCGCGCGCGGATGCTGGCTACGGAAAGGATCTGCGTTGGGCTAAATTTCAAGCCAGTGGCGCTGGGGAGGAACGCTCGCTGCGGGCGCCCGGCGGCGAGCGCGTTCCCGGTGCCGACCTCGCGAACTACCTGGGCACAACTGGGCTGGCGGGCGGACCCAACGCGAGCTCGCCAGAGAATTCAGTCACGCATGGAGCGAATGCATTGCGTTGTCGATGTCCTGGAAGAGGGCGACGTTGCTGGTGGCTCGTGATCTTCAAGCGTTCCATTCTGTCATCATCAGCCGGCTTCTTTACGGGCCCAGTTCGGCATGGCTCAACGTCGCAGAGACGAGTCGCTTGAGCGGATGTTATTGCCGTTGTTTGCGGAGTATTCTCCGAATGCAACCGTCTCATGTATCGCGGGTGCCGAATGAGACTGCGTTGCGAAGGGCATCGTACAATCCAGTGCGCCACCAACTCCTTCGCGAATAATTTCTTCTGTGCGGAAAAGTCGCGAGGGCCCCGGAGACTGACCCCATGGAGCCCCTCGCTGTCATCCACGGATCGTCCAGGCCAGCAGCGCAGGGGCGCGTCCGAACGGAGGGCTGGCCTCGGGCCGATTGGGCAACCGTGCTGCAGAAAGAGGCCGCCTGGCTGCTGGTTACCCATAGCGCGCGCAACAAATATGAATGGAATTCTGCCGTAGGTTGACATGGCGTGCGCCCGCGCGCCACGGCGTAATATTGAGTAAATGGTATATATAAGGAGTGCGATGCGAGGCGTTTTCTGTCAATTCCGCTTTTGCTCGGGGGGGTGGCGAGCAGCCTGAGTGCGCCACATTCCCGCGCTTTGGCAGCACGCCCAGAACCCTCGAGAAAGGGTTCATTGCCGCGCGTGCATGGGAGAGAATGTCGCGTGTCAGCTCAATGTCGTGGGGTTTCCCCGACCGAGGCCTCGGTGCAGCAGTGGACCTACGTGCTGACTTGTTGTTCCTCGGATGGCCCCTTGCCCTCGTGGGAAATGCGCAGCGTTCTGGCCCGCGCAGGCGCGCATCAGCATGCATTCGTGTTGTTCGCGCGTGTGGCAAACATATCCGCTGCAATGGCAGAGTTTGGTACGTTTTGTGCGAGCAGGGTGGTTCTGGGGCTAAGAGGGACATTCGCGCCGAACTTGCACTGTTGTGCGGAGCCCTTTCTTCCCAGATCTCGCTTTTCCGTGGGCCCTGTTGCCCCGATCCGCGCCTTTGCGCGAACGGGAGCGGCAAACCTCGCCGCGACAGCGACGCGGACAGAAACGACGGCGGAAACTCATGTTACGACGGCCGCCAGGCAGCGCGCGTACAGTCGGCCCTTAATGAATTACGCAGCGCGCAGCAGGCTTCCGCCCGGCGCGAGGCCGAGCGTGAGGAACGCAGGCCCAAGAAATCCATGATTTCGGCGATCCGCAGCACAGGCGTGGAGTCTGTCAGGGACCTCTTCGGCGGGAACACCTCTCCAGCAAGGATTAGGAAGGTAAGGAAGACAACAAGTCCAAGCCATCTTTGCGGCAAGCCCTATTCGGCGAGGACGAACCATCATCCGTTCAAGCTCCTGCGCCTGGCCAAACAGCGGGCCCTCGCTCGATGTAGCAGTGGCTCAAGCGCGAAATCTTCCAGGGATGCAAGCAGCGCGAGCCGTTAATTCAAGGAGGTGAACAGTTTATAATAAGCAACAGGGGAAGAAGGCCAACAAGCAAAAGCAGCACGACAAACTCACGAAGCAGGTGGCCGCCCACCTCGCGAAGTGTCGCTAGGATAATGATCGCATGGCCTGGGGTATCGATCTTAAGAAGCTCGTCGCGCTCATCGGGGCGCAGTGCGAAAGCAAGGGGAGCGCTGTCACCCCGGATGACGCTCTGAATCTAAATGCTCATCAGCAGGGTCGTACATGTTTTCACGAGTATCCTTATATGCATCCGTGGGTAGTTGCAGCAGGAATGCTCGAACAGTTCTGCTTTCGGGCTCTGTGAGCCCTGTCGGTGTGTGGCCACGTAAACACCCCACGTGCAAGTTGGCAGGCCTGGACCAGCAAGGACAAACAGGGAAGGGGAGGAACTCTGGAGGGGAGGAGGGCGCCGTTGCGACAGTGTGCACGAGGCACTTGCTTCCATGTCTCCTCATCTTTGCTCTGCCTCCGCATTTCGTCCTTTCTCTTTCTGCGCGACCAGAAGGAGGAGGAGGAGGAGGAGGAGACGGAGGAGGAGGAGGAGGAGGAGGAGGAGGAGGAGAAGGAGGAGGATGAGGAGGACGAGGACGAGGACGAGGAGGAGGAGTTGGAGGAGGTGGAAGAGGAGGGCTCTGAGGGCTCTGATGATACGAGTCTCTCCTTGAGACCCCTGGCGCACAGGCCACGCCAGGCCGATGCCTAGCAGCGAAACGCTTACTGAGGACCGAGCCTATGCCCAGCCCCTGGATGGCGCCAGGCCGATGCCTGGCGCCTGCAAAACTGGGCGGGTCGCACGCTAACCTAGGCCAGAGCCAGCTCAGCGTCACTCCTGGGGCGAAGCCCGCCCTAGCATCCCACTACTGGGACGCCTGGGCGAGCGAGAGCCTGAACACGAACGACTTGATGGCCAGCAGCGCCATGCGCATGGCCTCAGGCGTGCTGGCTGCGTCGAGCGCGTCCTGGAGCCTCCTGCCCTCAAGGAAGTCCTCCAATGAGAACTCCAGGTCGCCCCCCGCCTCGAGGAGGGACGGGAAAGCTGGGAGGGCAGGCAGCTCCTGCCCTGTCTCTGTATGGTCGCGATCGTCACGACCCTGGCCCGCGAAGGCCTGGCTACGTCCACGCCCGAGGTTCACTTGGCCTCCACCAGGGTCCTCAGGCGCCTGAGCCGCACCAGGCTCTCCTCCGCGCTGGACAGGGACGTCTCGGCCTGTTGGATGGGCGCCTTCACCCTGTGGCGCGCCTCCTCCGTGCCCATGTGCAGGGCGGGCTGCAGCGACTGGATCAACTCCTGCAGGTTGTCCTTGGTCGTCTGCTGCTTGCTGGCCATTGCATCGATGTGCTCCAGCTGCGAGCCCTTGTCCGCCGTGTTCAGCAGCTCCTCCTCCGTCGGCTCGCTGAGCTCCATCGCCGTGGCCTGCTTCCCCAGGAACCTGCGTTGCAGCTTGAACTTCTTGAGGAAAGAGTTCTTCCGCACCGTCACCTTCGGACAGGTCGAAGAACTCGCAGCCGTGGCCGACACCAGCTGTTTCTTGGGAGGCTTCGAGCGCTCGAACTCCTCCCTGTTGGCCTTGCGGATGGCCGCCATCTGCTTCTCCCTGATGGGTGACGGTGGCGGCCTGAAGCAGAACGGGCACTGCACCCTGAAGCCGAAGAGCACCACCCTCTTGTTCAGCCTCTTGGCGCAGTCCTCGCAGTTCCACTTCTCGATCTTGGCGTCCTTGAGCTTCCACTCCTGAGACCCGTCGATATGCCCCTTGAGGTTCGCGAAAGGGGTGCGAAGCGACTGGTCCTTCAGCTTCTTCTTCTTTTTCTTTTTCTCCTTCTTCTTCTTGAGCACCTTGGCGCCCTCCTTCTTGTCCGCAGCAGGCTTGGACGACTCCACCTGACGCCACGGAGTCTTCTTTCGCACCGGCGGTGGGGGCTTCGGCAGCCACTGACCCCCAACCCTGATCCTCCTCGGAGGCGTTCGCAAGCGGTCCGCAGGCGCCTTGTCCTGCATGCTCCGCTGGGACTGGATGGGCTGCGTGTCCTCCTCCGAACGAGGCCGCGTGGCAGACGACGACTTCGGCATCGTGGACCCGCGCGGCCTCTAAGAAAGCGCCGAATCTGAACCCGAAGTCCGAGCCGAAGATGTTCTCCGCAATGAAGAACCGCAGGCTCGGCATCAGGACATCGCCATGGCTCGCGACAGCTGCGCCGCTCTGAATCGCGCTGCCGCACGCCCCAATGGGCCAAAGCGGCTAGGTGGAAGAGGAGGAGGAGGAGGAGGAGGAGGAGGAAGAGGAGGACGAGGAGGAGGAAGACGAGGAGGAGGAGGAGGAACAGGACGAGGAGGAGGAGGAGGAGGCGGAGGCGGAGGATGATGATGATGATGATGATGATGATGATGATGATGATGATGATGATGATGATGATGATGATGATGATGATGAGGAGGAGGAGGAGGAGGAGGAGGAGGAGGAGGAGGAGGAGGAGGAGGACGAGCAGGAAGAGGAGGGGGAGGATGACGAGGAGGAGGAAGAGGAGGAGGAGGAGGAGGAGGAGGAGGGAGCGGCGGAGCAGGAACAGGAACAGGAACAGGAGGAGGAGGAGGAGGAGGAGGAGGAGCAACAGGGGGAGGAGGAGGAGGGCATGTCCTCGAGGAGGGCCGAGGGCCAGGCGAGAAGGAGGGGGAGTGGGGGGCGGAAACAGGGAGGAGGAAGAGGAGGGAGGTGGACGCAGACGATCTTACCGATGAGGACGACGACGACGATGACGACGACGACGATCTGTTGGAAGCGGGGGGCACGCCCGAGGCGGCGGGGCGGCCCTCGCCGGCGCCTCCCGCCTCTGGCGTGCTGAGCTCCTCGAGCTTTGAGGAGCGTCGGTCGTTGTCGTCGTCGTTGGCCGGTCGATCGGTCGTCGTTGTCGGTCGTCGTCGTCGTCGCGACAGTCGTCGACGGTCGTCGTCGTTGCAGGTCGCCGTCGTCGTCGTCGTCGTCGCCGCCGCCGCCGTCGTCGTCGTTCTTGTCGGTCATCGTCGTCGTCGCTGTTGGCGCTCTCTGGGATTGATGCCTGCTCGAGCGATAGGCCTGCACGTCGAAGCAACATCGGCATCGGCGTAAACAATCAGAGCTGTATGCTTATGCTGTCGCTTATCGTTATATCTTGTAAACTCTCAAGGGTTGGGGTGTATGGCCGATTCGCGCCGCGCCGACGCGGCTGCAACCCCAGCGCAGGCGTTCAAGGTTGAACTCCGCCAGGGACCCTGGATCGGCCGATACCAAGCGACCTGCGCTATTGAAAAGCCGCACGCGTTCAAGGTTGAACCACGCGGTCAGTGTCAGAGACCAACGCCGACGTCATCGCTACGTGCACTTTCCTCCGCAGATCAGGTTGACCTGTCGCCCCGGTCGGGCGTGGGCAAGATCCAGGACAATGTTGAGGGGAGAGAGCACGAGCATACGAAGAGTGGGCCAGTCGTGCGAAACAGGATTGTCTAGCCGACAAGCCTGGCCTACATGTTGTGACGCTAGCTGCTGCCCTCCCTCGGCGCTTCACTCGAGTCGGCCTGAGAGAGCTGCATGTTTTTTGCAGTCGAGTTCGACCTCAAAGTGTTGGCGCCCAAGTCCAAGTGCAGACTTCACTGCCCGTCCTGTTGCCCCTTAAACGCGTGGCACCTTCTGAACAGGCTGTGCTGCATTGCCTGGCGAACGCGGTTTTCCAGGACAGCCGAAACAAAGGCGACTTATGGTAACGAATGAAGGTCCTTGCTGTGTGGGGTACATACAGCAACTTGCACATGAGTGTCACGTAGAGATTCCAACCCACCTTTCCAAAAAAAGTCTGCATACAGTCAACCGTCAATACAGGGTAGACTTCTCCTTCCAGATACTGGTGTGCCTCATTCGATATTACTGCGGTAGCTTTTAAGGTAGCTCTTAAGTCATGTAAACCAGGGATGTTTGACAGCATTGGCTGAAATCAACAGCTTGCCGTCATTAAATCCTTAAAGCTGATACATAAGCGAGTCCCCAGGATTCCGTCATCAGTTTGGCTCAAGATATTGCGTTTCGATGGCTTAGCGCAGCGACGAACATGCGGCTGTCCTCTGTTCCGGTTGGCATGCACTTCCGCCTTGGCCGCATCGGTGATGGTCGCTCTTCTCAGGAGGCGAAATGCGCGCGCGCCCGCTGACTCCGACAGAGAGCTCGGAGGGTTCGCGGTCGCACGTGCTTGCGACAACAAGCGTTGCCTTGGATCAGTCGGGTGGAGCACCGGATGTGTTACAATGACGGAGTGTTCGGGCTGCCCCCAGTGCAGCTACATGTGGCAAAGAATGCTGGCCGTTGCACCGGCAGCGGCAAGTGCTGAAGCATTGGCAGGGCGGCCACAGACCGCGGCGGAGATTACTACCATGCTGGCCTACACCAGGCACGCCATCGGTGGACCCGTTGCAAGCGCCAGATCGAATACTAGCTCCTGGTTCGCGCCTGCACGCCCATTTGCGGACGAAAAGCCTGGTGAGAACGGGGCCGTGCCTTCGGCGAGGGAGGCCACCACAACCACCGAGACCACGACGTCTTCGTCCAACACTCGGCAGCCGTACTCGCTGCTTCCTCCAGATCTGAGCTGTGCATCGTACCAGCTCGCTGACGTGCTTTCCGAGGATGAATGTTTCGGAGATGCTGTGCAGCATAACCGAGTTGGCTTGCGCGACAAGCAGACTATTGGAGATTCCACTTGGAATGGCATGAGTTTTTACGGTTGCGTGTATAACATTCCAGCGGAGTCACCGAACCCGAGCTTCACTTCAACAGAACAACAAAACATCTGCCTTGGCGTGGCAACCACAACCACCTCTTCAACCTTCACTATCACAAGTTCGAGCACTTTGTCGAGCAGTGAGACCAGAAGCAGCATCAGCTCGACCAGCAGCACCAGCGAAACCACCACGACCCGGACCAGCAGAACCCTGACCAGCATCAGCGAGACCAGCGTGACCAGCATCAGCGAGACCACCAGCATCAGCGCGACCAGCATCAGCGAGACCAGCAGCACCGCAACCAGCAGGACCCTGACTGGCACCAGCACGACCAGCATCAGCGAGACCAGCAGTACCGCAACAAGCGGGACCCTGACCAGCACCAGCGCGACCAGCATCAGCGAGACCAGCAGCACCGCAACCAGCAGGACCTTGACTGGCACCAGCACGACCAGCATCAGCGAGACCAGCAGCACCGCAACCAGCAGGACCCTGACCAGCACCAGTGCGACCAGCATCAGCGAGACCAGCAGCAACAGCGCGACCAGCATCAGCGAGACCAGCAGCACCGTAACCAGCACCGGAACGACCATCACTGGAACGACCAGCACAAGCGAGTCCAGCATCACCTCCACTACTGTTTCCAACACGCATCAGCCCTATTCCTTGCTTCCTCCAGATCAGAGCTGTGCATCGTACCAGCTTGCTGACGTGCTTTCCGAGGATGAGTGTTTCGGAGATGCTGTGCAGCATAACCGAGTTGGCTTGGGCGACAAGGAGACTATTGGAAATTCCACTTGGAATGGCATGAGTTTTTACGGTTGCGTGTATAACATTCCAGCGGACTTGGTCATGTTCAACGATCAGTCACCGAACCCGAGCTTCACTTCAACAGAACAACAAAACATCTGCCTTGGCGTGGCAACCACAACCACCTCTTCAACCTTCACTATCACAAGTTCGAGCACTTTGTCGAGCAGTGAGACCAGAAGCAGCATCAGCTCGACCAGCAGCACCAGCGAAACCACCACGACCCGGACCAGCAGAACCCTGACCAGCATCAGCGAGACCAGCGTGACCAGCATCAGCGAGACCACCAGCATCAGCGCGACCAGCATCAGCGAGACCAGCAGCACCGCAACCAGCAGGACCCTGACTGGCACCAGCGCGACCAGCACCAGCGAGACCAGCAGTACCGCAACAAGCGGGACCCTGACCAGCACCAGCGCGACCAGCATCAGCGAGACCAGCAGCACCGCAACCAGCAGGACCTTGACTGGCACCAGCACGACCAGCATCAGCGAGACCAGCAGCACCGCAACCAGCAGGACCTTGACTGGCACCAGCGCGACCAGCATCAGCGAGACAAGCAGCACCAGGACCCTGACCAGCATCAGCGACACCAGCATCAGCGAGACAAGCAGCACCAGCGCGACCAGCATCAGCGACACCAGCAGCACCGCAACCAGCAGGACCCTGACCAGCAGCAACAGCGCGACCAGCAGCACCAGCGAAACCACCACGACCCGGACCAGCAGAACCCTGACCAGCATCAGCGAGACCAGCGTGACCAGCATCAGCGAGACCACCAGCATCAGCGCGACCAGCATCAGCGAGACCAGCAGCACCGCAACCAGCAGGACCCTGACTGGCACCAGCGCGACCAGCACCAGCGAGACCAGCAGTACCGCAACAAGCGGGACCCTGACCAGCACCAGCGCGACCAGCATCAGCGAGACCAGCAGCACCGCAACCAGCAGGACCCTGACTGGCACCAGCGCGACCAGCACCAGCGAGACCAGCAGTACCGCAACAAGCGGGACCCTGACCAGCACCAGCGCGACCAGCATCAGCGAGACCAGCAGCACCGCAACCAGCAGGACCCAGCACCAGCGCGACCAGCATCAGCGAGACCAGCAGCAGGACCAGCACCGCGACCAGCATCAGCGAGACCAGCAGCACAGCGCGACCAGCATCAGCGAGACCAGCAGCACCGCAACAAGCGGAACCCTGACCAGCACCAGCGCGACAAGCATCAGCGAGACAAGCAGCACCGCAACCAGCAGGACCCTGACTGGCACCAGCGCGACCAGCATCAGCGAGACAAGCAGCACCAGCGCGACCAGCATCAGCGACACCAGCAGCACCGCAACCGGCAGGACCCTGACTGGCACCAGCACGACCAGCATCAGCGAGAGCAGCAGCACGGCAACCAGCAGGACCCTGACTGGCACCAGCGCGACCAGCATCAGCGAGACAAGCAGCATCAGCGCGACCAGCATCAGCGAGACCAGCAGCACCGCAACCAGCAGGACCCTGACTGGCACCAGCGCGACCAGCACCAGCGAGACCAGCAGTACCGCAACAAGCGGGACCCTGACCAGCACCAGCGCGACCAGCATCAGCGAGACCAGCAGCACC